ACACACACACACACACACACACGCACACAACCACACACATCCATCCATCCATTCTGTAACTTCATCTCGTTTGCGCGGCGCCCGTATGTTCATCTAGCAATGAGGACATCGAGAGTTTAGCGCACTGCACAGCCTCACACAAAGACGCACATTATTTATGCACGCCTTATTACATGCCTGCTTAGACAAGTCGTCAGGACAGCAGCTTCCACGCGAAACCGAGACACGTCCGTTCATCCAATTTACGGCTATAGCTCAGTTGCGAATGGTGCGGGATGCGTTCGGGAAGCGAGGTAATCGCCCAACCGTTGGCGCACCGTGCACGTACAAAAAAAATAAAGGGAGAAAAAAAATTGCGATGCCCCTTTCGCATCAAGGTGCGGGAACAAGAGAGCTTTGATGGGCGGGGCTGGAATGTGTACACTTTGTCCTAGGCCTAGGTCTAGAGTCTAGAGAGTCTAGAGGCCTTCCACATTCCCAGCATACATCACATTGTGGTCTAACCTGTCTGGCTATTCGCCGTGTGTACCGCGGGGACATAGAAATGCCTGGTGTCACGTGAAGTTAGAGGGTCTGGTGAGTAAGCCGCAAGCGTGATTACGCAAAATTACGGCTACGTTTCGCCAAGAACATTTTTTTTTAATTATGAGGGCAAAAAACGGTAATACTCTAGGCTGACTTAGATCTAAGAAAACCCAGGTAACACTGAACTGAATAAAAAAGGAGCTGAAGTATACGTTTCTGGGCGTCTAGCAGCCATACAAGAACACCCACAGACCACCCACATGATTGTGAAGACCTGTGGAACGTTACTGTCCTTCAATAAATCAATGAACATTGAGTAGATAGACAGGCTGGAAGGCAAACTGTCGCACTGACTGACAGACTGACAGAGAAACAGACAATCGATTGAGAGTGGTCACTTAAAAGAAATTTGTTCGATATAGAATTAGAAGGGAAATTAACAAACAAACACGCACACACACACACAAACACACACACACATACACACACAAACACACACACACACACACACACATACACACACGTTACAAACAAACACACACATACACACACAAACACACACACGTTATAAACACACACTCATACACACAAACACACATACACACACACACGTTATAAACACACACAGGGGGCTCTCGTGGCCTAGAAGTTAAGGTGTTGGCCTCTCATTCAAATGTCCCGGGTTCGATTCCGGGTAGCGACCAAAAAATTTTCTTCTCTAAAATTGTCTCCTTTCACATCCTTTCCTGATCTCTAACAATGTTCTGTTGTCTGCTTTCATTTCCACTTTCTGC